CAGTCCAAGGGACTCTCAAGAGTCTCCTCCAGCACCACAATTTGAAAGCATCAATTATTTGGCCCTGAGCCTTCTGTATGGTCCAACTCACACATCCATACGTGACTTCTGGAAAAACCATAGCTTCACTATACAGACCTCTGTCAGCAAAGTGATGTCTCCGCTTTTTAATATACTGTCTATGTTTGTCATAGCTTTCCTTCCAAGGAGCAAGCGTCTTTTAATTTCATGGCTGCAGTCACTGTCCATAGTGATTTTGGAGCCAAAAAAAATAAAATCTGTCTCTGCTTTTACTTTCACTCCATCTATTTGCCATGAAGTGATGGGACTGGATGCCATGATCTTATTTTTTTGAATGCTGAGTTTTAACCCAGTCTTTTCCCTCTCCTCTTTCACCCTCGTCAAGAGGCTCTTTAGTTCCTCTTCACCTTCTGCCATTACAGTGGTATCATCTGCATATCTGAGGTTGTTGGTATTTCTCCTGGAAGCTCATACCCATAGCAATTTTGCATTATAAGTAAGGTTACTGATCAGCTGGCTGAAGTAATGAACAGGAGGGTGGGCCCTTAGTAAGCACAGTGGGCCTTTGAAAGCAGGGTGTTTTCTCTGGCTAGAAGTGGAAGAAAAGTTTTGAGGCACAAGCTTATCTGACCCATGATTGCCAGCTTTAAAGATGGAGGGGCCAAGGGATGAGGGCACCCTTAGGAGCTAAGCCACCAACAGACAACAGGAAAAGGGAAACTCAGTCCTACAACCACCAGGAAATTAATCCCACCAACTGGATGAGCCTGGAGGTGGATTTTCCCCAGGACTCCAGGTGGAAGTCCAGCCTTGGTGATGCTGATTTCAGGCACATGGAACCCTAAGCAGGACACCAAGCTAAGCCATGCCCAGCCTTCTAATAGACGGCGAGAGAGAATAAATGTGTTGCTTTAAGCTGCAAAGTCAGTGGTGATTAGTCACACAGCCCAGGTGGCTGATACGCCAGGCCTCTCGTCCTGCAGAAGGTTCTGCTGTCTGTGTGTCTGGCTGCCTCTTGGTGGGCTGTTCAGCGTGTTGCTCCACCCCCAGTATTTCTCATAAACTGGATGTTGGTTCTGAAGGCCTGGTGGGTGGAACTCGGATGTTTTAGGCAAAAGGTTTTAAGTCCCACTGTGGTCCCGACATTGCCGTGTCCTGGTTGACCTCCATTAGAGATGGCCAGGTGGACACTCTGGCTAGTGATGAGAGCCCAGCCCTTGCACTGGGCAGTTAGGCACAGTGATCCATCACCGTGTGACCAGGTGTTCCCCCTCTACATTGCAGCTGAGGAGGGGCAGCCCCCCGGGACAGCCTCCCTGAGTCGCACATTCCATGGAGGCTTGGCCAAGCTCCTTTCCCATTCTGCTCCACCCTCCTTGAGCATAAGCCACATGCTTCTTTAACTGGTGGTTTTCCTGCATCAATGGGAGCTGGTTGTAAGCCCTGAAACACAATTCCTGCTGGAAAAAAGCAGGAAAACACGCTCAATCCTTTCCCTTTAATTACTAGTTTTCAAAGTGTATTATAGCAGCTTCACAGGATGACAACTGAGGGTGTTTTTTCTGGATTCCTGCTTCTGGATGTGACCTTTGAGTTTAAGTGACAAGAAGGACTTTGCAGACATGCTGAAGTTAAGGATCTTTAAAAAAAAAATACTTACCTTAGAAGAAAGAGATTAACATTTTTTAATGATTACTTATGTGTTTTATTTACTTTTGGCTGCACTGGGTCTTGGTTGCTGCACACGGGCTTTCTCGAGTTCAGCGGCGGGGGCTTCTCATTCTGGTGGCCTCTCGCTGCTCTCGAGCACAGGCTCAGTACCTGGGGTGCACGGGCTTAGTTGCTCCACGGCGTGTGGAATCTCCCTGGACCGGGGATTGAACCCGTGTCCCCTGCATTGGCAGTTAGAATCCCAACCCCTGGACTCCAAACCCGTGGAAGTCCGAAGTTAAGAATCTTGAGATGAGCCGGTAATCCTAGGTCACGTGGGGGACCCCGTGGGGTCACAGGGCTTTTCAGAAGAGGGAGGTGGAAGGCCAGAGTCAAAGAGGAAGGATGAGGCAGGGGCCAGAGCCACGTGAGGACGGGGCCCTGGATCGGGGATGCGGGGGCCTCTAGAAGTTGGAAAAGACACAGAAGCATCTCCCCAGAGTCTCCAGAGGGGACCGGCCTGCCCGCATGCAGACTTTAGGACCCAGAATTCCAGAACTGTTGAAGACGATAAGTTTTAAGCCACTGCACTTGTAGTACCTGTTACAGAAGCAAGAGGAGACCCATACACCGAGTGCTCGTCTCCCTCCCTTCTGGTTTGGCTTGGTTTTGGTTTTCTGGCTGTGAGGCGTGTGGGATCCTAGCTCCTCAACCAGGGATCGAACCCACACCCTTGGCATTGGAAAGTGAAGTCTTTCCAATGGACTGCCAGGGGAGTCCCATCTTCGTCCCGTCTAATAGTCAGTTGTCCCTTCTTGGGCCAGTGGGAGCCCATCCCACTAGCCCATCCAATACAACTGGATTTTGTACTTCCTTTTTTCACAATTTTTAAAAAATTGTGTAAAACACATGTGCTTCACAACAGGAGAAGCCGTCGCAATGAGAAGCCTGTGCACGCCAACTAGAGAATACAGAGAAAGCCTGTGCACATCAACGAAGACCCAGCAAGCTGAAAAGAAATAAATAAAAAATACGCATGATATAAAATTCACCACCTTAATCACTTTTTTTCACCTTAATCATTTTTGAGTCTACAGTTCTGTGATAGTATATTCTTTTAAAAACTTTTTAATTAAAGTATAGTTAATTTAGGGATTCCCCTGGTGACCCAGCAGTAAAGAATCCACCTGCCAATGGAGGAGACACGGGTTCAATCCCTGGGTCGGGAAGATCCCCCTGGAGGAGGAAATGGCAGCCCACTCCAGTATTCTTGCCTGGAGAATCCCATGGACAGAGGAGCCTGACGGCTACAGTCCATGGGGTCATGGACACGACTGATCCCGCACAGACATTGGGCGCACATGCATTTACAATTGTTATATAGTCTCTTGCAGGGATCCCTGGATCATTGTGCAGTGTCCCTTCTTTGCCTCTCATTCCAGTCTTTGTTTTTTAAATACACTAAGCCTATGCTTAACGGGCAGCCGCTTTAATCTTCCCGAACTGAAAGCATCCTCGTTGAACTCACTCCCCACCCCCTCCCCCAGCCCCTGAAGCCAGGGCGCCCTTCCCTTCCCCTGATTTGCTTTGTCTCTCTTACGGCCTGGAGAATTCTTTGCTCATCCTTTAAGCCCAGCAGATTAGTGGGATCGATTGAAGGGTGCGCTGCACCTATACCTTATTTTTCTGGAACTCCGTGCGCGGTCCTTTCATCATTCTATTTCTCAATATTTCCTAAATTTGTTTTAAATACTTCAAACGGGCTGGGGCCCCTACTGGGGCATGAGCAGTTCTTCGGGTGTGCGTCTCCCATAGCTCTCAGCTCCTGGACCCTCTGCTCCGCGTGGGCCTCTGTGCCAGCGGCGCCATCCCTCTCTCAGTAACTCCATGGTGAGCCATTTCCCTTCTGATTTGGGTTCGCCAGGTGGCGCTAGTGGTAAAGAACCCGCCTGCCAGTGCAGATGTTAAGAGACTGGGGTTAGATCCCTGAGTTGGGAAGATCCCCTAGAGAAGGCAATGGCAAACCCACTCCAGTATTCTTACTTGGAGAATCCTACGTACAGACAACCCTGCCAGACTACAGTCCATGGGGCTGCAGAGTCGGACACGACCGGCGCGACTTGGCACGCCCCGGGGATCCTTACATGGGGTGAGGGTAGGCGTGTGTCCAGGACGTGGGCCGGAGGGGATGGTTTAGATGCCCCCCAACCCCTGTTTGGTGGTGTAGAGGACAGAGGCATTGCTCCTGACGCCCTGGTTTTGCTCTCAGCTCTTCAGATGTGGCCGTTGGGTTTTTGGTCTTTCTGTATCTTTTGTCCATAATTTGCCCCACCTGAGCACGCATGCGGTTGTTTTTAGTCTCTTTTAGTCTGTGTTTTGTTGCTGAAGGAGAGGGGTGTCGAGGTGCAGGCACTGCAGCAAAGGGCCCCAGGTCCCAGCCTGGCTCATGCGGACACAGGCAGAGAGGCCTCGGCGGGGCCCCGAGAGGGTGCTGCCCGTGCCCGTGGCCCCACTGGCCCTGTTTTGTGGGCACTGCGGCATCTCGCTCCCCAGCAGGCCGGAGGTGTTTCAGGCCCTCCCTCTTTGCAGTCGCTCCCATGTCACCCCCTCCACAGGAGGGGTAAGGGGTGGCTGACATCAGTTTATCCCCCGCCCGCCTCCTGTGTTGGCAGGGGAGGTTCGGGACAAGGGGACGGGACAGGACGTGGAGGGTGGTCGGGGAAGCGCACGTATGAGTGTTGCTGAGACCACCCAGTGGCTTCATCCTGACTCGGCACTGTTTGGGGAGAGGCCAGGCCAGGAGCTGGGTGTACGGAGGCCCACCTCCCTCTCACAGACCTTCTGTCCGTGCCGGGCCCTGGTGGTTTGCTGGGCCACAGAGGGGTGAAGCAATAGAGGCCGGCCAGCTGGCCAAGTCGGAGCCTCTGGACCAGACGGGAGGGCCTGGAGCCCTCGGGGCAACCTGCGCAGCTGTCCTCTGAGTGCCCTGCACCCAGCTGGGCTCCAGGGCAGCCAGCCCACAGCCTGGGTCCTCCCAGCACCAACACCTGGGCAGGTCACCTCTACCCTTAGTCCCGGGCCTCCCTCGTCTGCAAAAATGGAAGGAATTGGGCAGAAAAGCCACATAATGTGGCAACAGGGAGCAGAGGCTCCATCAGCTGGGAGGCCTCTCCCTGCCTTCCTGTCTGGGCTCCCGCGGAAGCCACTTCCTCCCTCAGCGCCTCGGTTTCTCCCCTTTGCAAACGGACAGAAATCTGCACACTTCCTCAAGCTGTCTATTCCCGTGAGATAGTCCCAGCTCACCGGGCTGGGAGGGGGTCAGGCGCAGACCGGGCTCCGGGACCCTGAGCTGGCTCCTCCGCGTCGGGGATCTCATGTCCCGCGCCGAATGGAGTCTCGAGTACGGGTACAGGTAAAGGAGGACCCCATGGACTCCCTGGATGCTTTGGGGGAGGAGGCGGGGGGCAGGGGCCGCCCCTGAGTGCCTGCGGGAGGGAGGACAGACAGCGGCGTCCCCCCACCCCCGACCGTGCGGCTGGGCCCACCCGACCTGGGCGGCCGGGGTGGGAGTTAGGAGATGCGCGTAGCTCCGGGTCCCCAGGACCCACAGGCCGCCTGGGGTCCCCGCCTCCAGCAGCCCCCGCCTGCGGAGGTGACGGGCCAAGAGCCACCAGCTGCCACCGCGCTACTATTCCTCCCCTCCCCCCCCCGGCACCGTGCGGGCTAGCGTGACTATTACTACTCCTTCCGTGGGAAGGCAGACCCCTCGCAGCCAGGGGCGCCGAGACCCCCCGCTCCCACGTGGGGCGCCCTCTGCGCTCCGGGGATGGGGAAGGGGCCAAGCCTGGGCACCCCCCCGGTCGCGGCGGGAGGGAGCCCGGCCGCCCCCCAGAATCCCAGGCCCCCCCCACCCCTCGGCCGTTCCACTGCGGCGGCGGCGCGGGGAGCGCGAAGGAGCCGCACGGGCTCAGCCCGCTGCTGCCGGCCCGCGGCGGGGGCTCCGTGGGCAGCGACGTGGGCCAGAGGTAGGGGCGGGGGCGCGGGGCGCCGCCGGGAGGGGCTTTGCTCTCTGCGCTCGCATCCCGCACGGGCTCCGCTCCGCTACACCTGCCGCGTTGCCTGCAGTCTCGGGGAGGGGAGGGAAGGCCGGGGTCTCCCCGGGGACCCCCTCCCGAGCGCCCCGCCCGCTGTGTCTCCCGTCCGCCTGTGGGACCCCTGCTCCCTCCTGCTCTGAGAGGCTGAGCACAGTGGGCCTGCAGGTGAGATCGGAGGGGAGAAAGGAGGTGGGGACCTGGGGACCCCTGCCCAAGCCCTGTCCCGCTGGAGGCTACACTCATGTTGGCCCCCGGCAGCCACTTGGGGTGAGGCGGGGCCAGCGTCTGTGTCCCGTTCCAGAGGTAAGCAGTGGAGGCCCAGGGCGGCCGCATAGCAGAAGGGAGCTGGGGTGCAGGCTGGGGGCTCAGGCTTCTTGGGGCTGGTGTCTAGAGCCCATGGGAGTAAAGGTGCAGGAGGCTGGTTCTCCCGGCCCGGCAGGGTCCTGCTGACCCCTCCGGCCGCTCCTTGAGCACGGGCACAACATGACACCCCCATTTCACTGATGAGGACACTGAGGCTCAGTCTGCAGCACCAACTCTTAGCCAGCATCTTCCCTGTGCCAGGAGCCCTTCTAGATGCTGCGGGGGAAACTGAGATGAATCAGACCCCCCCTAATGTGGGCACACGTCGTGGGCACAGAAACCTGTGCGGGCTGGGCTGGGACAAGGAGAGGGAGGGCTTCCTGGGGCACTGGCCCTGCAGGTGGAGCACCGGGAGACGGGCAGGGGCTTCCGGGCAGAGGAGACAGCCAAGGCCGAAGCCTGGGGGGCTGGGGTGTGGTGCCATGTCAGGGCTGGGGTGAGGCACTGGCAGAGACTCAGCCTGGCAGATGGTAGACCACGGGTGCCTGGGGAGCCTCCCTGCCCCTCCCCACTGGCCACAGGCCCTCTGGGCCCTCCGCACTCTCCCATCGCATCTCCTGCTCCTTGACATGCCCCTAGGGGGCAGCTGCCCCGTGGTCATTCCCATTTGCCGGAGGAGACTGCTAAGGCAGGAGACTAAGTGCTCTAACGGGCACTCCTGGTGGCTCACCCAGTTAATGGGCAGCCCCTGGGCAGGAGGGAGGTGAGTGCTGGCCAAGGCCCTGGAGGCCAGATTCCTGTCTTCTCCATTCCCTTCCTTGAGGCTGTGGGGGGCAGTGAGTCCAGAGGCTGTGGTTACCGGCAGCCTGGCCCCTGCAAATGATTGGCTTCCCGCTGTCCCTGTTCCTGCAGGGACACAGGGATGGCAGATCCTGTCCAAGCTGCATCTGGACCCGCAGTGCAGCATGGGAGTGGTGGTGGCAGGGACACCTCCTCCAGGAAGCCCTCCTCCCACTCCTACCCTTCATTGAGCAGCCTGGCTTGGTAAGGGCCCTCAGACCAGCCTCACAGCCAGCCCAGCAGCACCAGGGGCTCCGCAAGCGCTAGGTGCACACTGTGGAGTTTGCTCTGGACGGGAGCAGTGGGGAGCCATGGCAGGTTCTGGAGCAGATGAGGACTTGCCGGGTTTCAATTCTGGGAAGACCAGAGCAGGCAGGTGGGTGCCCTCTGCCGGAGGAGCCCGTGGCTGTAGCTCCTGCCCCAACCTGCGTGCACTGTCTGGAGCCAGCCAGGCCTCGGTCCTCCCCAGGGAAGCCCATAGCCTCCCGGAGGCCTCACCACTGCTGGGGAGGTAGCATGGCAGAGGCAGGGGTCTCCACTGCCCCCAGGGGACTGAGCCACAGGGAGGGGTCTGCTCCCAACGCCCTGCCCGGACCACCCCCTACCACCTGCCCCTGCCACCCTGCCGTCCTCCTGGACGCGGTGGAGGGGGGAACACGGGCAAGGGGAGGAGTGGGCAGCGGAGGCCAGGATGAGCTCTGAGCTCCCACTGGAGGCTGCTCGCAAAGGTCAAGGGAGCCCCAGGGCAGAAAGAGGGGAAGAGGGTCCAGGGAGGGGAAGGCAGGGGGTGCACAGGAGGACCTGGGCAAGGAGTGAGGGGCCGCCAGCAGGGGAGGCCTGTGAGCGGGACCTTGGGGCCGTCTGCGCCTCCCCCAGGGTAGTTTCCGGGGCAGGGCTCGCCAACCCAGGACCCTCACCAGGAGGGGCAGTCAAGGAAGGCGCCCGCTCTGAGCCGGGCAGCAGGAAGGGTTGGAGACAAAGGCGAAACTAGCCCAGGGTCCCTGCGTGAAGGCAGGGAGGAGGGGCGGGGTCTCGGGGCGTGGGGTGGAGTCAGGGGTGGAGTCAGGCAGAGCCCGCGCAGGTGGTGCAGGGCTTGGGCGGGATCAGAATCAGCCCGAGACCCGGGCGGCAGCTGCAGCGAGTGGCCGCTGGGGGCAGCCGTACACCTGGGGTCCCCTGAGCTCAGGACGGCCCCTCTGAGCCTGGCTCCCACCAAGGACAGGCCTGGAGGCTCCGGGCCCACCTCTGCGTGCAGGTCCCTGGGGGTTTCTGTGGACGATGGGGGCCGCGGCCGGCAAAGGGAGCGAGGGCTGCAGCAAATAGCGGTTTGGCCAGCCCAGGGCCGACTCTGCACTTTGCTCTGGGGGCCGAGCCTGCCTGCCCCTTGTGCTCCGAGCTTGGTTCCACCCTGCTCTCCTGCTGTCCTCGCCTGTGGCCGGCCTCCCGCTCGCCCGCCCGAGTCTCCCTCCCACCTGGCCTGGGATTTTTCCCAGGAGTCCTCACACGGGGGCCCTCTCCTCCCCTGCAGATCCACATCTTCATGTGTCCCCCACTGCCCTGGCCAGAAACCCAGCTTCTTTCCTGTCCCCCCTCCCTGACCTGCTCCCAGCAAGCTCCTGGTCTGCCCTGAGCTGACGCTGGGACAGGCTGTGGCCCTGCCAGGCTCCCGCCCCCAGGGGTGCAGCTGTCGCCCGACTCAGCACTCGGGCAGCGCCTGGGCCAGAGGGAATCTGAGCCAGATAAACATGCAGAACCTGCCAGAAGCTCCCAGAGACCCCAGACCCAGTGAAGCCCAGGCACCCCTGCTCTCTGCAGGCCCAGCCAGCACCCCGCCCACCCGCGGGGCACCCAGAGCTGTAGGCTGAGGCCCCACCCAGAGGCAAAGCAGGCTGGCTCCCTCCTCCCTGCCTGTGGTCTTGGGAAGGCAGCAGTCCTCTCTGAACCTTGGTTTCCTCTTCTGGAAGATGTTCGCTTCAAGGACTGAAGGAGAGGCCCCATGAAGCTGGAGACGCTGAGCCAGACGGGAGGGACTGCAGCAAACAGCAGACCCTCTGTGCCCTGCCCACCCCCCCAGTCCCTGATGCTCCCACCAGCTTCTCCCTCCCAGTCTCCAGGTAGTGCCAGCCATGCCCACCCTGGTGTCCTCTGGCTGCAGCCAGTCTGGAAGAACCCTCGGCCAAGGCGGCCTCAAGGGCAGCAGGTGTGTGTTGCTGGCCCAGGAGATAGGGTGCCCCTGGGGGTCCCTAAGAAGCATCAGACTGCCTTGTCCCCAGGAAGCCGAGGGGGCAGGGCAGTGAGGTGGCACCAGGGCCTGTAGAGGGCAGGGGCATCGAGGAGAGGTGGGCAGGCTTGACGACAAGGAGCCTGCCTGTCCTGTCCAGCGGGTGGCCCCTGTGTGGGGGGCGCCCCTCGCTGCCATCAGTTTCCTGGGTGTTGGGGGGGGCTGACCTGCTCCTTCCTGGACCCTGGGGTCACACAGGGCCTGGGACAGTCTCAGTGCAGAGCAGGGCGGTGGGCGCTCCCAAACCTGCTGTCCAGCCGCTCGCTTGGCTGCAGGCAGAGGCCTGTCCTGCGTGCTGTCCCCGGGGAGGGTCACCCCGTCCCACCGGGGTGGGGGCGGGGTGCATGTGCCCGCACTACCGCGGGCGCCATGCTGCTTCTGGGGCGTCCAGGGGGCCAGGCCCCGCCAGGGAGTGTGCACATGGGCACGCCCCTGCTCCCCTCGGCCCCTGCCCGAGTCCTCTCTCTGTGTCCGGGAGCCCAGGCTCCCCCATCTGTCTGTCCGTCCGCTGTCCACGTTGATGTGTCCACTCCATTCCACCCCCAGGCTTCACATGGAAGAGTTCAGCCTGGACTCCTCTCTGTCTCAGTAAGTGTTGGTTCACAGTTGTCCTCCTGGCCCCGAGCAGGCCCTTGGGGAAGGGGCTCCGGCTGTGACTGCCCAGGGGGAGGGTTTGCCGCACCCAGCACCATCTGTCCTGCAGCCGGGCCAGAATGGGGCATGGCCGGGGCTGCTGGACCTTGAGTGGGGCTGAGGCTGGGGGCAGAACGGGGCATGGCTCTCTGGGAAGGAGCCTGTGAGTGGGAAATGGGGTGTCCGGAGCCAGATACCCCACAGCCCCACGGTAGTGACGACAGCCCTTAGGAAGGGATGGGGGCCCCACTGTGGTACTGG